CAAAAGTGATCATATTTGATTGATGTATTCTGTCATACACTTATACATATGTATCGCATGCACTCCATGTACTAATCAATCATACACCACTTTCTTGTGGCTGTCAGAATTTTATGATATTGATATAGGTCTGTCTCAGATATGATACTGCTCAGACATGTAATAAATGTACAACATGTAGCAGTCCTTATTTCTCACTAGATAATGGAAGAAGCTTGTATGATATTTTTAACAACAAATTGATATAATAAAGTTTGACAGTTGCACTGATAAATATAGGGAATACTATATTGCATGAATTCGCTAGTCTGGTGCGTTGTATCGCTAGAGTTGAATATATAAAATTACATTTCCACTTAGAGTGAGTGAACAAGATTTTTATGCAACGAGAGCAATACAATGCATCATAAAAGCACGTTCATGTAATTTATGATAGACTATGCACCAACTTGTTTAATGGCATGCTTTTGAATACACATGACGTCATGTAGCGCCTGAATCTACTAGTCAATTGAATAAGTTTAAACATTTAAACACACCGACATGATTCAGACTACAATTATGGAAACAGTTGCATTTCATTGTGCAATTATATGTATTTATCCCATTTATTCAATTACATCTGCTCTATAATTGTGGATAGCTTTATTAATTTGGTCAAAACATTCAGTCATATATTATATAGTATATAATAAATACAAGCATATTGTCCATGACAAACAATTAGCTCAGTTGTCCCATTTATTCTATTACATATGTTCAATAATTTTGGATAGTTTCATTAATTTGGTCAAAATATTCAATCGTATTTTATATAGTATATAATTATTAATTCTTATGATGGAAAGTAATATGATTGCCGTTTCTTCTGGGAAAAGATGTGTGATGTGTCTAGGTGCAATTACTCCACCGTCCCCTCAATATGAGAACAAACGAAATTAATGTCGTTGAAAAGGAATAATTATGTATCAAAAATCAATGACGGATGAATCTCCTGATGGCAATCACTGTTGACTTACGGTTTTATCAAGTTATATATGAGAAATATCACATCCTTTGATCACCAAATGACAGGCATTTCTGTCGTGTATATATTGAAGTTCGCTTTTGATTCCAGATTTATCACTTGAATCATGTCTTGCTAGAATTATACCTGACATATATATGAGGTTGAAATTTTTAAGTGAAATTTAACTGTTAAGCTTTCTTAGGGAAATTAAAGATATATCAATTTTGAAGCAATTTCAAAAGGCAGTAACGGAAGCAATTTCAGCAATCCATGTTTTGTTTATATGTTCCTTCTTTATACAGATATATGCACTTGCTACGGGTTTACCCATCTTAAAGGTAGCCAAATAGTTAAGTGCAACAAATCTACAATTATTACACAAATAATTGTGTCTCATTTCGACCAACATTTTATTGATTTCTTCGATTGACAATGGCCAATAACAACATCAAGTAAATATTATAACTCTTAAAATATCTAAGCATGAAACAAAATTAATCTGGATTTAAATCAATACATTATTTAAATCAATAAATTACGCAAAGCTTTTATTGCAATTTGAATTGGTGATATTAATGAACCCTGCACTTTCTACCAGATATATTACAATTAATACCTCATCGTCAAGAACAATTTGACAATCATCATAAACCGTTGCTAGTTATAACATTTCAGCTGAACGCTTTCATTTCTCATGCATTTGAATATCTGAATTAGACAATTTGTGCGTAAAGTACCTTGATATGGATTATGTAACAAGTTTAGTTCGATAATGGTTATAAGTATGTCAGACCATACACTGTTATCTTTGAAAGCATGCCTGTTACAACAGTAGCTCTAGGTACTTAGTGTAAGTGTTGATATTTTTTAAAAATGAAAAAAATGTAATCATTTTCATGTTCGGTTGTTATGATAAACGCTTTGAGGGTTATAAAATGGTTATCATGTAGCGGCAGCGAGAACAAGGATACTTCAAACACAGTCGGCCTAACATTTCTGTTTTAACAATTAAGTTATAATCAAAAGAGATAAATAAAAAGGGGGCCCATTTTTCAGAGATTAAATAGATGGGTTTTAAAAGAATCAGGCATTTTTTAAAATTAAATTTTTTAAAATAAAAAAAATCTAAAACATTTTTTCAAATCTTCCATTTTATAATGCATATAAAATTATAACTTACTCTGATTCCTGTTTTTAAATTTTTATTCAAAATTCTATATCGGGTCCATCATTACTGAAACCCCTTTAAATTTAAATTAATAATTTATAGAAAAAATTTTTTATAACAAAAATGTTTAAAAAAAAATTTAAATAAGTAGATGGTTTTAAGGGGATAGATAAAACTTTAACTATTTAAAAAACCCTTATATCTCCCACACACGGGGAAGGCTCGGGGGGACAAACTTGGTTTGGCCCTAACTTTTTTGGCTTCTTAAAAAGTTTTTATTAATTTTTTTAAATTTATTTTAAATTTTTATTATCATTTTTAAAATAAAAAAACAACAAAAGTTTTTTGCAAAAGTTTTACCCATTCAGTGATTTTATAATCATAAAGAGTTTTTCCCCAAAAACTTAATTTTTTTTAAGATAATATAGTGTAAAAAAAAACCAAATTTAAAACCCTTTTTAAAATTGCTTTAAATGGACAAACAAATAAAAATTAAAATATCTTTTTTTAAAACAGAAAAAGAAAACTTTACAACTGAAAAGGGTACAAAATATTTGGGCTGAAATACCCAAATATTTTAAAAGATTTCCAGTTTTAGAGAAAGGGTTTTTGTTCCCGGCAAATGATTTTGGGTTTTTTTCATTTAAATATGTTTTGCCCCTTATTTTTAAATAGGAAGTGTCAAAAAGAGTTTCGGGGCCCATCAACATGAAATTTTTTTCCCAACAAGGGGTAAGATAGCTGTGTAAAATCCCAAATTTTTTTAAAAAAATTTTTTTTCTAAAAAAAAATCCAAAAGGAAAAAAAAAAAGAAAGGGAAAAACTTTTTTTAAACATAAAAAAAAACCCAAAGTGAAGGTTTATAGTTATTGACTTTTTTCAAAAAAAACTTAAATTGTTTGTTTAAATTTTTTTTTTTTCTTCCTTGTTTTTTTTTTTAAACCCGAAATTGAGATAAAGTTGCTTCCTTTTAATGATCGGAAAAAATGTTGCATGAGAAAAAAAACATAAAAAGGGGCATTAAAAATTAGCCTTGACAAGTTATCATTAATCTTCAAAATAAATTGCAAATTTGCTAGTAAAATTGTGTTTTAACTGGGAAAACATGTTTTTGGTGACATAAAAAAGTTTTAAGTAAACGGCGTCCCTTTTTTGCAATAAATTCCAAGAAAAAATACTTCAGAATGTAACCCTTCGAACAAATTGAAAAAGGGAAACCAAAAAAGTAATCTTAAAATCATTTTTGGATGATGAATTCATTAGAAAAAAGCTTATTTAATCCCCCTTTTTACTGAAATTATTTCTTATGTTTTAACTTGTCTTTTCAAAAAATTTAAAAAAGGGATGATCATTCTAAATTCTGCTTAATAAAAGACCCTTTAAAAAAATTATAAATGCATGTAAAAAGTGGAATAATATACTTTTTAAAAAGTAAAGAAAAAAGTTATAAAAAAATACTTAGCCGGTCACACACGAGGTAAATCATTAAGTTATCTTATAAATGCTACCGTCAAACTTTAAGGTTTCTTTTTTGCTAACTCGGAGGAATAGAAAAAAACAAACAATACTACGAGTTCAATAAATTCAGTAATAAATTTACACGAAATTAAAATATTCTACAATCAAAACATACTCACAAAAAATCCGTTTTTTTGAAGTAAAAAAATAGTAACTATTAATTGACGCGACTTTTAAAAAAAAAATTTAGGTGTTGTGCCACTATGTTTATATAGATATAACGAAAAAACAAACGGTCACAATAAACATCTGAATATGTCAACAATTTTTTTTTAACATTTAATTTTTGGTTTAAAAAGTTTGTTTAAACTTTTAAAATTATAAATTTAAACCCAAAATTTATTTTTACTTTCTTTTTTCTTTTTTTTTTTAACGTGGTTTTGGTTATGTAAAAAATTCCAGCAAAATCTGGCTATTTAAATACTATCAATTTTTACGATTGTTTTTAATTTTATTTTTTAAAAACAACATTTTTCTAAAAATCTGAAAAAGGTTCGTTTTTCCGGATCAAAAAAAACACATCTGCAAATAAAGAGATTTGAAAAAGTGTTTAAAGAATTTTTTGGGTATATCTTATTTATGATTTATTGCTTTTATATATTTTATAGGGTTTTTGTGGTACCTTTTAGCTGGTATCATAATAAATCATCATCAAGTCTAAGAGAAGAGCAACACATTCTTATAAAACAAAAAAGAAATAACAACAAAAACGAAAATTACAAACAACAATAACAAACAAACAAGCAAAAGAACGTACTTCACCATTCATAAATTGACATAAAATATAAGGTTCTTAGTCTAAAAATATATAACATAAATAAAACATTGATCGGTTATATATTAAACAGAAGATCAAACAATTTTGCATAGAAATAAGTTATTGATAGTCCGCATTCAAATACGAATCTAAGTCTAATGCATCCTACAGCCATAATTGCTCTCAAATTATTAAAGAAGTGGGTTTTACGTATTCAATTGAGAATATAAAGGTGAAATGACTAAAATAGATGAGTACCGGAAGGTTCAATATCCGATTAATAATGATTCGATTACGTAATAATAAATAAGTTAAATATATCTGATGTGTTATATTTTTTTATTATTTTTTTACGTCTAACACGAGTGTTACGTCAAAAAGAATGACACTGTTTACTTTTATCTGTTTGTTATACGGATGTAAGAGTAAGAACATTTAGCTATAACAGTGATTGAGGTTTATGTTTGAAGATGAAAGTTGTTATATCATTGTTTGTTGTTAAATAACAATTAATGTTCTTATGGTGGTTCTTTGTTTTGTATTTTCAGGTTGTTAGATATATGTCAAATCATGTGACTCCAAAAGATTAGTTATCCTGAGCAAGTAAGTAAATTTGCATGTATTATTGATCAATAATCGTTAATCGTAGCAAGACAATGAAGCATGGACACTTATATTCTTTAATAAAATAAAGCAATTAAATGAAGTATTATATGTGTATTGCGAGGGTTATCATGATCATTATAGTAGTAAATATCAAAACTCTAATTCTAGCCAGAAAATAGGATAAGATAGAAAAATAGTGTTGCTGTTAATTATGCCATCTAGATTTTCTTTTCTACATACATTGTCATAAACAAATTTTCTTACAATACAATAAAACAATAAAAGTGGAACAAACAATCAACACAGGATAAGTTTTAAAGTTTATTTAATGATGCTAACCGACGTTTCGACTCTCACGAGTCTTCATCAGGGTTATAAAATATCAGAATAATAGAAAAACCATTGTCTAACGTACAAAAATCGGGTATACTTTACGTCACGTGATTTGTTCTAAAAATAGTTTAAATTATGTCATTTTGGGTTTCACCCCATAATCTATATTTAGCTGTAATGCCCCTTTTCTAAGAAAAAATACCGTAAAATGGAATAAATGTTTATGTTAACGTCATTCAGTGTTTCTTTTTCAATCCTGGCAATTGGTTGATGTGCTTGTGTGGGCTGCTGCACGGCGACGGATTGTTACTTCTAAAGGGTGACAGTTGAAGTGGGGATAATTCCGGATCTATTATCATTTTTTTTAAAATTTCGTCCGTTGTTTTGATTTTGGTGTATTCTGTAGCCATGATTTTACTCCGGGTATTATACGGAATTTGGTATGGTGGTTGCTTTCAAAAGGTTTTTTCCAAGGTTTGATAGGTTTTATTTCAATGTTGTCGTGTTTTTTCTCTAATTTGGTGAGGTATCGTTTTTTTTTTTTTTTTTTAGTGGGGGGGGTTGCTTGTGTATCGTATTACTGTGTTTTTCTGGAGGTGTTCACGTCGGCTAAAAGAGTTGTTGCAGATGTAGCATAATAAATCGTAATTTCGTGTCTTGGTGAATTTTAAAGTGTCGGTTGAAGTTACTTTTTTGATCCTTTCAGAAATTTGTTGCAGGTTTTACATTGTCGTAGTTTTTTGGATATTTCAATGAAGTGTTCGTTGTTTGCTGTTAACTGTTGTTTCTGTAAATTACTTTGGATTTCCATTATTACTGTATTAAGTAGTCCGGATGGTGATCGTGTTTTAAATATTGATATAAGTGTTTCTTCAGTTCTGAGCGGATGTTGACGTTCTTAGGTGTTGATAATAACATAGTTACGTCGACGTCATTAACGTTGTGTTCGGTGTTGTGTAATGGCCGGGAAACGGGGTTTATAATTGGTTGGCATTTTTTATGTCTGCGAAATGGCCATATAGACGTTGTCTTATAGTATTTGCGGTTTGTCCTACATATTGTATTCCACATTTGTTGCATGTTATTAAATAGATTAAACTGGATGAATTACAGTCATATGTGCCTTTGTATGAAAGTATTTTCCTGTGAATGAATTTTTTAAAAAAATATGATTTACTGCTGATATGTTTGCATGCGATACAATTTCTTTTACACTGGGTGTGATCCTTGTGGTTTCATCTGGGGATTGAGGTCTGATTTTGTGAGTGTGTTTCTTTAGGCATGCTGGTTTTTTCGAAAATACTGTACAATATTTTGTATTATTAAACATCGTTAAAGTGGGGTCGTTTCCCAGGAGGTGGGTGTATTTAGAGATGAGATTATTTGTTCTTAGAAAATAGGCGGGTTATGAGTAATTATAAGCGGTCATAAATTTCCCTTTTGTGCTTTAGTTCGACATTGGTATCAAGATTGTAATTTTTGGCTTTTTTGATGGCTTCGTATATTAATTTTCTGGGATACCCCGCGTGCAATAGTTTTCCGTAAGTTGTTTTGTTGCATATTTCAAATTGTTTCGTCAGTGCTGCATATTCTCCTTATTCTGACGGCTTGGCTATATGGGGATGCTTGCTTTTTTGGTGACGTGGATGAATGAGCTATAGTGTAAATACATATGTGGTGCATCCGTTGGTTTTGTGTATAGTGTGGGTTTGATAATTTTTTTTTAAAGTCTTTGTTGACAGTAACATCCAAGAATTTTGCTGAGATTGGTTTATGTCTACCAATATACTTGATCGTTTGTGTGGAAACTATTTAAGGCCGTAGTGAAGGAAATTCAAAATCTCTCTCTGAGTGTGGCCAAACCATAAATATATCGTCAATATATATCTCCACCATACCAGTGGAGATATCGGGTATTTAGCTTAGGAACTTTTGTTCTATCTTATCCATAAAAATTATCGCATAGCTAGGTCGCATTTGGTACCCATCGTGGTTTCCGGCAATTTTTTCATAAAAATGTATCATTGAATCTGAAACATGTTTTCTTGAGTATGAAGTAAAGTATTCTTAGAAGGATCCAGGTTTGGGTTCTTTTCAGATCTTTGTTGTAAAGTGCATATTTGGCTGCTAAAATGCCTTTCTTTGTGTGGAATATTAGTGTAAAGTGCTGTCACATCTATTGTGACTAAGAATGCGTCTTTAGGTACGTTGTTTAATTCGTGTATTTTTTTCTAGGAAATGACGGGTATCTTTAAATATATGAGGGGACTTTACGTGCTAAAGGGTTGTAAAAAGTGATCTACAAAATTCGGATAATTTTTTCTGTAGGACTTCCACAAGCTGAGACGATGGGCGTCCGGGGTTTATTAGGCTTATGAATTTTAGGTAATAATAGAAGATGGGTGTCCTGCAATTTTTCGCAGTAAAGGTAGCTGATGTGTTGCTGTGACATAAGGGAGTGTTTCTTCAGATATGTTAAAAATTGTTGATCTCTCTGGTTGATTTGTTCGTAAGATCGTAGGGTGTGGGTCCTGGTATGTGTTTTTTGTCGTTGAGTTGTTTTTAAACCTTCGGCAATGTAATCAGATTTATTTAAAATGACTATCGCTCCTCCTTTGTCGGCTTGTTTTATAATGATAATCCTTATTTTGTTGAAGTTTTGTTATTGCTAGGTACTCATCGGGTGTAATATTATAATGTGTATTCGGTGACTGTTTAATTGTAAGAATGTCATGATGGACGATTGACAGAAATGCATCGAGGTTCATTGATTTGCCTGCAGGTGGTTTCCATCCTGAGCTTTTGTGTGAACGGGTCAGGATTGTTATATGTGGTATCTGTAAAATAGTGTTTAAGTCTCATTCTTCTGTCGAAAAAGTAGTAAGTCTCGTTGTAATTCTATTTTGTCTGTTTTTCTTGGGGTGGGGCAGAATGACAATCCTCTACAAAGAATCATTTTTTCGGGTGTGGAGAGATTGTAGTTTGATAAATTTATGACAAAATTTATGATAGTTCGGAGGAGAAGATTTTGTTCATGTAATTGTTTTGTTCTGAATCTTCTGTTGGGCATATTTTTTCAGTTTCTTTTGGTTGGGATGATCACTGGGGGTGTTTCCTTTGGAGGATTTTTCGGGATCTTGGAGTTGATTTTTGTTACTGAGATCTCTTCTGACCGATAGTACAATTTTTTGATATGATGTCAGCAATTAGGTCGACTTCGTCAGTTTGAAGTGGTGTCTTTTAGATGTTTCTCTACCTCCCTAATTTCTTCTACCAGTTGTGGTTTCCTTGTGTTCCAATATTCTAATAATATTTTGGTGAGTTGTAGTCAAAGTTTATGTGGGCTTCTTTCCCATTTAATTTTGTAGGACTGAATTAAATTACTGGGACCTGTGGGGTTAAATTAACCCGTAAAATCTTGGTTGTTGATTTATTAATAACACATTTCTCTAAATATTGGACGTGGTGTTCTGTGCGTGTAAGTTGTATATTTAATTTCTTTAAAACGAGAAAGATTTTCTTGGCTGATGCGGCGGGATGAAAAATCGTTGTCGTCTTTCTTACAGTTTAAAACCATTCTTCGTTTACAATAAAACATTAAGATTAAGATAAAAATGTATCGTAGAGTGGTCTTTTAACGTTCTTATCAATGCATGATTAAGCTATTTTTTGAAGTGATTATTATTATTATTATTAATATTATTATTATTTATTATTATTAATATTATTATTATTATTACTATTATTATTATTATTATTATTATTATTATTATTATAATATTCGTTTTTGAAATACATGTAGTTCTAAAATGTTTTCTCTACATTTGACGATTTCACATCGTGTGTTACTTTATTCTGACCATGGCGGCGCATTCCTGAAAGTTAAACGTTTTCAAGCAAATTAGGAGAAACACTAACATAATAATATCAAGAAATTGTACTAAGTATTTTCTGTAAATATAGTTCATTACGTTTGATTTGAACATGATAAAGGTACATTTTTGAGAAATATGGTATTATGGTTTTTATGATAGGAACATATTTAATTTTGCTGAAGTATGTCATTATTTCATTTGTTAGGCCAAAGCAATTTCTGTGTTTAAGATAAATGTCTGAAAAAGTTAGGCATGTTCGAAATGTCTTAATTTATACATGTAGACACAAAAAATGATAATTGTATCATAGTTTGGAGACCTTTCTGTTGAAAATGTGTCAGGATTAAATCGTATACATGCACAGTGCGTTAACTGGAGTGCGGGTATTAGTTACCCGCACTCCAGAGCATGCCCATTGATTGGCTAATTTTTGCTGGGGTTTACATATTGTGATGACAGAGAAAGGGAAAGCGACAGAAATATCATATTCAGATGTTCGTTCATTGGTTCATTTTTGCCGGGGTTTCATATTGTGACAACAGGGAACGTGTTTTTAAGTTTGACTATGATACAAAAGAGAAAGAACACCAAAACACTCGGTAATCTGATTAATACTCGGGGGCTACGCCCCTTCGTACAAATCAGATAACCTTGTGTTTCGGTGCTCTTTCTATTACTTAGACACACACTTTGTAACATGTAACACCGTGTGTAGTAATTTACGCAGATGTATTAATACATGTATTATAGTTCTACTCAGGTGCCCGTTCGTGCCTGAAATAATGCACGGA